GTTCAAGGGGTATGAATACTTTTGCAAACCACTGTATTGTATCGTGACCCCTGTTTCATGACATGTATTGTATCACCAAATTCTTGCCAATACACAATCCTAGTAAATAACAGGCCTTTAAGTTTAAACGGTAACGCAACAATTTGAGTTTTATTGCGATTTGATTTTGTCAGGAATCTCGCCAATTTGGTGGTGGATCCAGAGAGACCTGGAGACTTCAACCAGGCCATGATGGAGCTAGGAGCACGAGTCTGCACCCMCAAAGGACCACAGTGCTTCAAGTGTCCTATCCAGTTGCACTGTCGCTCGTACCACAAGGTGAACATGAGCTCAAAATAAACTAACACTTTTACAATAAATGGACTGGATTTCACTGTATGAGTTTATGTGTTTACATTTTGTCTGTGTTCAGGTTCAAGCCAAACAAGAAAACAATTCTAAGAAGCTTTTGGGGAAGATGGAGAGAAGGATTCTAGATCTTCCTGATATAGAAGACTGCAGTAAGCTTCCTCCTCTGCTYGACCATTAATAGAGATTAAWATATTTGTAATTTCTCTGCCTCCTSTTGTTTCAGTGAACAGTGAGTCCTGTTTGTTGTGTCCTTCTGAGCCATGGGACGATGAGCTGGGTGTCCAAAACTTTCCCAGAAAGCCAGCCAAGAAGGCTCCTCGAGTGGAGCGAACTCTGACCTGTGTAGTGACCAGGTCTGGGGAGGAGGTGGACAAGGAGTTCCTGCTAATACAGAGACCAAACAAAGGTCTGTGCTCTGAAGTGTTCACTGCAGTGTTAAACCTCATCTGTTTATTCTGGTCTAGAATTGGCAGTAACCTTATTTTAACCCAAAACTCTGTTTAAACTTTCTAAAATTCAATCACTCTATCATTTAAATCCATCAGTGGTAGATCCATGTTTATTTGAAGTCATAAAAACTAAACATGATGAGTGAAAGCCCATCTAAATGGGCAAGTTGCCCATGTAATTTCAGCATTTATTAGCAAACTGGGGCTGATTTATCAAAGGTTTTCATTCACAAAAATATGCACAAACTTGATGATGTGCACAAAGCTGATTCACTAACCATGCACAGAAGATTGCATCTGTCAAATAAGCATAATAGTAGAAACAATCCACTTAGTGCACATATTATGAGTTAGACATAACTCAGCTCTCTTCACCACGACAAACTGGTACAGCGCCCGCATCACTTCAGACGCAGCACCAGTCCGCCTGTCAATCTCCCGCTCCATTCTTCCCTCATTTGTGAACAAGACCCTGAGATAC